GTCAGCCTTCCTGCTCCTCTGATACTGCTTGGCCTGCTGTGTTCATCCAGCTCTACACCTTGTTATCTCAGTAGAAGATTTTGTTGAGTTTCCGAGGCTCATGGCAGAACACAAAAAAGAAGAGTCTTATGTTGACACAGGAGAAGTATTTTACACTGTCAATAGGAAGGAAGTCTTCAACCTGACGGGACTGGTGGAAATGTTCCTCATTTCTATCAGCAATGAAAAAAATTCATATGGAACAAAAATCAGCCAAGTTTGCCAGAAGAAACAAATAATGAGAACAAGAATGAACAGTGCAATCCACTGGAGAAAACTTCAAGTAAAGTTGTTAAGAAAGCAAAACAGTCTGATGAACAAAGTGCTATTGTAATTGATGTTTGCTGTCAGATGGTGGGCTAACAGAATTTCAGGGGCAACATTTCAACCTGTGAAGAAGGATCATCAGTACCACCAACAGAGATAACGCTAAGTAAGCAGCACATCTCCAGCATGGCAATTAAGGAAACGAAAATATCTCATTCCCCAGGAAGATGGAGGGCAAATGAAGACTCCAACCTAACCAACATGTGGAAGTAAAGAGTTCACCTAATTTAACACAGCTGATTGATGAAAATGACGTTGTCACTCTGCAGAAACGAGACTGATGCCCACAGACTCAGGAGATGGTCGAAAGGGGGAATTGCCTGGTGTAAATTCCCAGGACATAGCAGGAAGAAACCCCTTTCATCAACAGTGCAGCCGTCTTCCATACAAGCCATTCATAAGATTGAAGTTCCTTCAGACAATGTAATAGGTAACTATCTGAGTTAGCAAGGAAGTGTTCAACCGCGTAGGGAATTCAGTGACCCTATCTAAATAGATCGACTGCCTGGTTTAGAAGGAATGACATCCTGTGTGGAGGTTATCCAAAAGATAATAAGTTGCCCAGCAGAGAAATGGTTAACAAATAAACAGTCCTCTTCCCTAAGTTGTAACAATCTTTAAGTTTCAAGATATAACATCAGACTGTCTGAATTTGTGAAGTCCGAAAGGGGTTGGGGTTTAGCAGTAAACGTGAAAGCGATTGTGTACCTGGATGCATAAATGCTAACAACGGGCAGGAAGAGCTTGGGGGAGATGTTGTATAAGCTAATGGTTCTGCAAGGGTTAATTTTGGAGGCAGTATCAAGCTTCAGTCAAACCGATGATGTCCTGGGCGGTGAAAAGAGTCAATGACCTCAAGAAGCCAATGTTGTCAGATTTGTCACCTTTGTTCCTGACAGTCTTAGTTATTACGACCGACTAGCCAATGTGACTTATACCTATTGCAATCATCTAATATGTCATGTTGGTAAGGCAAGTGCCTCCTTGTTAAGACTTGCTTGTTTGTTCAATCCTGACAGCACCTAACTAAACAGGCAATTAGACCCAATATAGAAAGGACGATTGATGAATGCACTCTGCTCAACTTTCTCTCCCTCCACAGATGCTGCCAGACCTGCTGAGTTCCTCCAGCACTCTCTGTGTTTGTCTCAGATTTCCAGCATCTTACAGTATTTTGCTTTTATTACTAGGAGAGATTCATTTCCAAAGACATAAACCAAAGGGAGTGAGAAGAGAGTGAGGGTGAAAGAGACCATGGGGAGGAGAAAGGACGGAAAGTGTGAGGGAAGGACAGAGAGACAGAGAGAGAGAGAGAAAGAAAACAAAAGAAGAGTGGAGGAGGGAGATGGAAGAGAGGGAGTAAAGGAGATGAGGGTTGGAGACAATAGGGGAGAATAGAAGTGGGACTCGGAGCGAGGATTAGAGAAAGGGAGGAAGTGAGTGTGAGAGTAAGGGAGGAAAAAAAAAGTTGAGAAGGAAACATAGAGAGGGAGGAATGAAGAAAGAAGAAGGGAACATGAGAAACAGAGACAGCGCATGTGAAGGACAGAGAGGGAGAGAGGAAGAAGGTGAAACACAGCAAGAGTTTGAGAGTGGAGAAGGGAGACAGAGAGCAGAAAAAGAGTAAAACCATGGGAAGGAGAAGGGGAGGGAAAGAGAGCGGGGGGGGAGAAAGGGAGAGCAGGTGAGAAGAAGTGAAGGTGGGAAAGCAAGCAATGGAGAGAAGGAGGGAGCATGAACGAGAAACAAGGGAGCATGTGATGGGAGGAATGTTTCTCATCTGTCTCATAAAGTTGTTTGGGAACTGTTTGTATGTGTGCTTATTTCCAGGCACTCGGGCTGACTCCAAGTTAAGCAATAAAAGTTTTAGCCAAATATTGAAAACACACTACTCTGAAACATCTCCAGCTCCCACATTAAATCCAAGAAAAATCCTTTGTAATCAGTTGTGTAAGGCAAAATGCCCTGAAAAGAAGATTTAACCCTCAAATAACATTTGATTTAAACCCTGCAGTTTTCTTACACAGTCAGAGAAAGAGGCCATTTACCTACCTGCCACACATCTGCTCTACAAGAACACTGCGCTGTCAGAGGGTCAATACTGAGGGAGTGCCGCACTGTCAGGGGGTCCGCACTGTTGGAGGTTCAGTTCTGAGACAGTGCCGCACTGCTGGAGGGTCAGTACTGAGGAGTGCCGCACTGCCAGAGGGTCAGTACTGAGGAGTGCCGCACTGTCGAAGGGTCAGTACTGAGGGAGTGCCGCACTACCGGAGGGTCAGTACTGAAGGAGTGCCGCACTACCGGAGGGTCAGTACTGAAGGAGTGCCGCACTGCCAGAGGGTCAGTGCCGAGGGAGGCTGCACTGTTGTACGCATTTTGCTAACAGACTGCTGCACAAAGCAGAAGATTTCTTTCCTTTCCTTACATTGGTAAATGAGATTGGTTTTTGCTCCTTGCCGTGTCTTTTATTGTCTCTCTGCCTCTTTCTCAGTTGCCCTCTTCTCTCTGTTCCTCTGCCTGTCTTCACGTATCTCCTCCTATCCCACTGCTTCTTCTTCTCTCATTGTCCCCCAACATTCTTTCTCCAGCCAATCTCTCGGCTCTTTGTGCCTTAATATCTATCTGTTTGTCCGGCAATCTCAAAGTCTCCCTCTCTTGCTGACCTCTCGCTCTCTGTACCCTGTCTCTCTATCTCTCTCGGTCTTTGTCTCAGATTCTTGACAACTCTCTCCACCTGTGTATCTCCATCCCTGCCTCACTCTGTCCTCTCTTTCTCTCCATCCCAGTGTGTCCCTGTCTGTAATGTCAAGTTCTTTTTTGTTCATCTCTATCTCTCTCATAACATTTCCTTCTGTCTCACTCTCTCTCTGTCACCAATTTCCACTCCCCACCATTGACATTGCTCATCTCTTTCACCACACACACAGCTGACTGCCTGCTGAACAAACCAGAGGTCTCTCTCGCAGAGTCAGCACCTCTGGCTGGGAGAAATTATGATGCAAATCAACAATGCCGCCTAACCTTTGGACCAGGACATCGCTGGAGGCCAGGAAGTGACCCCTGTCGCATTCTTTGGTGCATTGCCAGGCATCAGGGAGAGTGGCTTCACGCCAGCAAACAGCTACCAGCAGCAGATGGGACTGACTGTGGCCAAGGGAGGGTCTGTATGCGGGGAGAATGTGTCTCCAATTGGCAACAAGCAGTGAGTACTATTGTGGTCACCCTTGGAGCTTCTAGAGGGAGCTATACTGTTTCCAGTCCAATGCTGTCCCTGTCTTGGGCATGTTCAATGGGGACAGTGTAGAAGGAGCCTTACTCTGTATCTAAGCCCATGCTGCACCTGTCCTGGGAGTGTTGTTTGGGTATAGTGTTGAGGAAGCTTTAATCTGTATCTAACCCCGTGCTGTCCCTCTCCTGGGAGTGTTTGATGGGGACAGTGTAGGGAGAGCTTTACTTCCAGTTTAAAAGAATAGAGGAAGCATTATTTTCCGTTTAGCAGAGGGATCTTTACCCTGTATCTAACCTTCTGGAATGTGTCCAAGGTAGTTTCCTGCAGCAATATGTCTTGGAATCAACAAGTGGCAAGCAATACTGGACCTAGTGAGCAATCAGCCTGATTTATTTAGTGACCTACTTGTTCCTGAGCATGTCAAAGAGTGATCACAATGTGATCAAGTCATGTAGCCTTTATAAGAGACAAACAAAGATCGGATACTGGAATTTTGAATTTAAGTAAGGTAGACTCTAACTGGATGAGGCAGATACTATCCAAGTGAACTGGGAAGCTCTGTTAATAGGTCAAACAACTGAGGAACAATTCAAAGAAGCATTTAATGGCATTCAGAAGCAGTCTGTACCCATGAGAAGGCAAAGCTCCTCCTACACACAAAATAAAAGCCATGGATATCTAAGGAGGTAAGGGACAGCATAAAATTAAAAGATAGAGCTTATAAAATCACAAAGAATGGTACAGATCCCACAGAACAGGATAAATACAAAGACCAACAATGGGCCACAAAGCAGCTAACAAGATTTGGCAAAGAAAACTTGAGAGGGACAATACTGATTAAGAGTACTATTGGCCCATTGAAGGCTGAAAATGGAGATATTGTCAATGGCCTGGGGAAATGGCAGACATGTTGAAGGATTATTGTGCTTCAGTATTCACCGCAGAAAAGGTGGATAAACTTGTCGGAAGTCCCAAAGAAATTAATAGAATATCAGGTACAGAGTCTAAATCAAATTAGCTTAAGTAAATCATCCATGGGGAAATGACTATAGGTAGGGTGGTTAAAAAGGCGTTTAGCACTCTTTGCCTTCATTGCTTAGACCTTTGAGTATTAAAGTTGGGACGTTATGTTGAGGTTGTACAGGGCATTGGTGAGGACTCTTAGTTATAGAGTCATCAAGATATACAGCATGGAAACAGACCCTTTGGTCCAACTTGTCCATGCCGATCAGATATCCTACATAAATCTAGTCCCATTTGCCAGCATTTGGCCCATATCCCTCTAAACCCTTCCTATTCATATACCCATCCAGATGCCTTTTAAATGTTGCAATCAAACCAACTTCCAGCACTTCCTCTGGCAGCTCATTCCATATATGCACCACCCTCTGCATGAAAAAGTTGCCCCTTGGGACCCTTTTATATCTTTTCCCTCTCACCTTTAACCTATGCCCTCTAATTTTGGACTCCCCCTCCTCCGGGAAAAGACCTTGCCTATTTACCCTATCTATGACCCTCTGACGTACTATGTCCTGTTCTGGTCACCCTGTTATAGGAAGGATGTTATTAAGCTGGACAGAGTTCAGAAGAGATTTACCAGGATGTTGCCGGATATGGAGCGTTTGAGTAATAAGGAGAGGCTGGATAGGCTGGGACTTTTTTTTAACTGGAACGTGGGAGGTTAAGGGGTGACCTTATAGAGGTCTATAAAATAATGAGTGTAGACAAGGTGAATGGCAGGTGTCTTTTCCCTAGGGTGGGGAATTTCAAGACTAGTGGGCATATTTTTAAGGTGAAAGGAGAAGGATTTTAAAAAGACATGAGGGGAAATCTTTTTTTTACACAGAGCGTGGTTCGTGTGTGGAATGAACTTCCAGACGATGTGATGGACGCAGGTACAGTTACAAAATTTAATAGACATTTGGATAAGTACATGAATAAGAAATATTTGGAGAGATATGGACCAAGCCCGGGCAGGTGGGCCTAGGTTAGTTTGGGATTATGGTTGGCATGGACTGGTTGGACCGAAGAGTCTGTTTCCATGCTCTATGAATTGAACTGAAGAGTGACAAATCCTCAGGACCTGATAGGTTCCAACCACGGGTGTTAAAAAGGTAAAGCACATTGCCAATGCCCTAACCAAAATCTTACAGATTTCCCTGGATTCAGGAGTTGCATCTCTGGATTAGAAATTTTCATAAGTCACTCTGCTCTTTAAGAAGAATGACAGAGGGAAACCAGGGAATTACAGATCAGTTAGCCTTACATCTGTGGTGGGGAAGTTGTTGAATCCATAATCAAGGATAGGGTAACTGATCACCTTGAAAAATTTCAGTTAATCAGGGAAAGTCAGCATGGATTCATGAAGGGTAGTCATGCCTAGCAACCTCAGAATTTTTTGAAGAGGTGGCACAGGCTGTGGACAGAGGTAAGTCGATGGATTTGTTTATATGGACTTCCAGAAGGCTTTTGATAAAGTCTCACACAAGAGGGTGCTAGCTCAGGTGGAAACCCACGAAATTGAAGGCAAATCACTGATTTGGATAGGAAATTGGTTGAGTGGCAGGAAACAGAGTTGGATTAATGGGTAAGTCCTCAAACTGGCTAGTGGTGTCCCGCAAGGATCTGTATTGGGGCCTCAATTATTCACAACACCCATTAACGACTTGGATAATGGCATAAAAAGTCAAATATCCAAATTTCCCGACAACGCAAAATAGACTGTGCTGGCAACAGCAAAAAATTACAACAGGAAATTGATAGATGAGGTGAATGGGCAAAGCTGCGGCAGATGGATTTTAATATAAGCAACTGTGACGTTATCCATTTCATACTGAAAAAGGATAGATCAGGGTATTTCTTAGAAGGCGCAAAATTAAATATAGTGGATATCCAACCGGATTTGTGGGGGTTCAGGTGCATTGCTCTTTAAAGTACCATGAATAGGCACAGAACGTTGTAAAGGAGGCTATTGGAATGCTGGCCTTCATATCTAAAGGGCTGGAGTATAGGGATGCAGAAGTTATGCTGCAGTTATACAAAACTCTAGTTAGGCCTCACTAAGTACTGTGAGCAGAACTGGGTACCACACCTTGGGAAGGATATATTGGGCGTGGAGGGTGTTCAACACAGGTTTACAAGGATGATACCTGAACTTCAGGGGTTAAATTATAAAGTGAGATTAGACAAATTGGGCCTTTATTCTCTAGAATTAAGGAGGTATAGGAGTGATCTATTCGACATCTCCAGGATATTAAAAGGGAAAGGCAGTGTGGATAAAGATAAACTATTTCCACTGATTGGAGATTCTAGAAACAGGGGGCATAGTCTCAGAATTAGGGCCAGAGCAGATGTTAGAAAGCACTTCTACACGAAGAGTAGTGGAGGTTTGGAACTGTCTTCCTCAAACAGCAGTCGTTGCTAATTCAATTGTTAAATTTAAATCTGAAACACAGATTTTTATTAAGCAAAGATATCATTGGGTTATGGGCCAAGGCAGTCACATGGAGTTAGGGCACATATCAGCCATGACATTATTGAAAGGTGGGGCAGGCTGGAGGGGCTGAATGGCCTGCTCTGCTCCTATGTTCCTAACTATGTGCTGTACACGTCCTAGGAGTGTTTGATGGAGACTGTGTTGAGGAAGTTTTCCTCTCAGTTTAAAAGAGTAGAGGCAGCATTACTCTGTATCTAACTCTGTGTTGTCCCTGTCCTGGGAGTTTTGATGGAGATGGTGTTGAGAGAGCATTCCTTTTTATTTAAAAGAGTACAGAAAGCTTTATGCCGTATCTAACCCCTTGCTGCCCCTGCCCTTGGAATGCCTGATGGACACAGTGTCGAGGCCGCTTTACTTTCAGTTTAAAAAAGTAGAGGCAGCTTTACTCTGTACCTAATTCTGCGCTGTCCCTGTCCTGGGAGTGTTTGGTGGGGACAGTGTAGAAGGAGCTTTACACTGTACCTAACCCAGTGCTGTCCCTATCCTTGGAATGCCTGATGGAGACAGTGTCGAGGCTGCTTTACTTTGAATTTAAAAGAGTAGAGGCAGCTTTACTCTGCACCTTACTCTGTGCTGTCCCTGTCCTGGGAGCGTTTCATGCAGACAGTGTTAACAGAAATGTACCCTGTATCTAACCCTGTGCTGTACTTGTTTCGGGAATGGGGACAGTGTTTGAACAATTTATTCTGAACATTCTTTTCTCTTTTTCCTATTACAGAAGCCCATTGATGGTAACTGGGGATCCTGGGGGCCCTGGGGCCAATGTTCCCGGACGTGCGGTGGTGGTGTTCAGTTCTCTAGACGTCGCTGTGACAACCCACTTCCTGCCTCCTTCGGGAGATATTGTCAGGGACGGAGAGATATCTTCCAGTCTTGCAATCTTACTCCTTGTCCTGACAACAATGGTGAGTCTCCAAGCATAAATTCTGGTGTTTAACACAGTGCATCTCGCTGACTGTTTGGCCAGATCTGCCCAACTGCATGGTGTTCTCTCTGATAATACTCCTACACACCCTCACACTCACCCTCCTTCACATCATCTCCCATTCACCCACTCTCCTGCCACACAACCTCAGACTCATCTTCCCTTACAGTCTTCACTTTCTCCCACGCACACACACTCAGCCTCCCCGTCTCCCTTTTGCACACTCACCCAGTCATGCAGACACACTCTTTCCTACACCTTCTTGCACAATCTGAGCTCTCCCATGCGTGCACGCACCCACTCATACTTCTGTACTCTCTAAGTCACGTCCCCTCACACCCAGTCACTTTTACACTCAACCTCACATGAATATCCATGGGGGAGACATAAACAAAAAGCCGCTGGGGATAAGTTAGCGAACAACCTGCCAATTACTTGACCATTCTTGGATGTGACAGGTAGGACGTATCGGGATGAACAGTGTGAGGCCAGAAACAGACCTGCTCCCAACGGGCAGGGTTCCTACGAAGAGTGGGAGCCTTACTATCATGGCATTCGCGAGACTGACCTCTGTAAACTGAACTGCCTCCTCAAGGGCACCTCGCAAGTCACTGTTTTCAACATTAAGGTCAGTCTTTCTTTCAACACCTTTCAGTTAATGTGAAGGTTAAGGGCTAGGCCAGCATTCGTTGCCTGGCCCCATGAGATGGTTGTGGTGAGTGGCCTTCTTGAACCATTGCAGTCCACATATTGTAGGTGGACCCACAAGGCCCTTAGAGACGGAATTCCAGGATTTTGACCCAGCAATAGGGGCTATAGGAGCGGCACTGTGGCTCAGTGGTTAGCACTGCTGCCTCACAGCGCGAGAGACCCGGGTTCAATTCCACCCTCAGGCGACTGTCTGTGTGGAGTTTGCACATTCTCCCCGTGTCTGCGTGGGTTTCCTCTGGGTGCTCCGGTTTCCTCCCACAGTCCAAAGATGTGCAGGTTAGATGGATTGGCCGTGCTAAATTGCCCATTGTGTTCAGGGATGTGTAGGTTAGGTGGGTTACAGGGGGATGGTTCTCGGTGTGATGCTCTGAGGTTCAGTGTGGACTTGTTGGGCCGTAGGGCCTGTTCCCACACTGTAGGGATTCGATGAATGGCGATATACTTCTAAGTCACGTGGCTCAGGGATGGACAGGACTGGCAGCTTAATATAGATGCTATAGGAAGAACAGAAAGGAGAGCGAGAGAGGAGGGGGAGTGGTATTCTTGATTAAGGATAACATTACGGCTGTACTCAGGGAGGATATTCCTGGGAATACATCCAGGGAGGTTATTTGGGTGGAACTGAGAAATAAGAAAGGGATGAACACCTTATTGGGATTGTACTATAGACCCCCCAATAGTCAGCAGGAAATTGAGAAACAAATTTGTAAGGAGTTATCTGTGTGGGGATTTTAACTTTCCAAACATAGACTGAGACTGTCATAGTGCTAAGAGCTTGGATGGACAGGAATTTGTTAAGTGTGTATAAAAAAATTTTCTGATTCAGTATGTGGATGTACCTTCTAGGGAAGGAGCAAAACATGATCTACTCTTGGGAAATAAGGCAGGGCAGGTGAATGAGGTGTCAGTGGGGGAGCACTTTGGGGCCAGTGACCATAATTCTACTAGCTTTAAAATAGTGATGAAAAAGGATAGATCTAAAAGTTAAAGTTCTAAATTGAAGGAAGGCCAATTTTGATGGTATTAGGCAAGAACTTTCAAAAGTTGATTTGGGGGGGTGTGGATGTTCACTGGAAAATGGGAGGCATTCAAAAATGAGATAACGAGAGACCAGGGACAGCATGTTACTTTTGGGTAAAGGGCAAGGCTGGTAGGTGTAGGGAATGCTGGATAACTAGCCAAATTGAGGTTTTGGTCAAGAAAAGGAAGAAAGCATATGTCAGGTACAGACAGCAGGGATCGAGTGAAACCCAAGAAGAATATAAAGGCAGTAGGAGTATCTTAAGAGGGAAATTAGGAGGGCAAAAAGGGAACATGAAATTGCTTGAGCAAATGAGGTTAAGGAGAAACCAAAGGGATTATACAAATACATTAAGGATAGCAGGATAACTAAGGAGAGAATAGGGCCCCTTAAAGATCAGCAAGGTCACCTATGTGTGGAACCACAGGACACACTAAATGAGTATTTTGCATCAGTGTTACTGTGGAGAAGATACGGAAAATAGAGAAGGTGGGGAAAGAAATGGTAACATCTTGAAAAATGTCCATACCACAGAGGAGGAGGTGCTGGAGGTCTTAAAAGGCATAAAGGTGGATAAATCCCTGGGACCTGATCAAGGTGTACCCTAGAACTCGGTGGGAAGCCAGGGAAGAGATTGCTGGGCCCCTTGCTGAGATATTTGTATCATTGATAACCATCAATAGGTGAGGTGCCGGAAGACTGGAGGTTGGCTAACATTGCATCACTACTTAAGAAAGGAGGCAAGGAAAAGCCAAGGAACTGAGCCTGACATCGGTGGTGGGCAAGTTGTTACAGGGAATCGTGAGGGACAGGACTTACATGCATTTGGAAAGGCAAGGACTCATTACGGATAGTCAACATGGATTTGTGTGTGGAAAATCGTGTCTCACTAACTTGATGGAGTTTTTTGAATAAGTAACAAAGAGGATTGATGAGGACAGAGCGATGATGTGGTCTATATGGACTTCAGTAAGGCATTCGACAAGGTTGCTCATGGTAGACTGGTTAGCAAAGTTAGATCACACGAAATACAGGGAGAACTAGCTATTTGGATACAAAATTGGTTCAAAGGTAGAAAGCAGAGGGTGGTAGGGGAAGGTTACTTTTCAGACTGGAGGCCTGTGACAAGTGGTGTGCCACAAGGACTGGTGCTGGGTCCATTGCTTTTTGTCATTTATATAAATGATTTGGATGGGAACATAGGAGGGATGGTTAGTAAGTTTGCAGGCGACACTAAAATTGGCAGTGTAGTGGACAGCGAAGAAGGTACAACAGGATCTTGATCAGACGTGCCAATGGGCCAAGGAGTAGCATATGCAGTTTAATTTAGATAAATGGGAGGTGCTGCATTTTGGAAAGGCAAATCAGGGCAGGACTTATAGTAAGGTCCTGGGGAATGTTGCTGAACAAAGAGACTTTGGAGTGCAGGTTCATAGTTCCTTGAAAGCAGAGTCGCAAGTAGATAGGATAGTGAAGGATGTGTTTGGTACGCTTGCCTTTATTGGTCAGTGCATTGAGTATAGGAGTTAGGAGGTCATGCTGCAGCTGTACAGGACATTGGTTCAGCCACTTTTGGATTATTGCCTGCAATTTTGGCCTCCCTCTTATAGGAAGGATGTTGTGAAACTTGAAAGGGTGCAGAAAAAAGTTACTTGGATGTTGGCAGGGTTGGTGGGGATTTGAGCTATAGGGAGAGGCTGAATAGGCTGAGCTTATTTTCCCTGGAGTGTTGGAAGCTGAGGGGAGACCTTATAGAGGTTTATAAAATCATGAGGGGCATGGATAGGGTAAATAGTTTTTTCCCCCGGGGTGGGGGAGTCCAAAACTAGAGGGCACAGGTTTAAGGTGAGAGCAGAAAGATACAAAAGGGGCCTAAGGGGCAACTTTTTCACAAAGAAGGTGGTGCGTGTATGGAATGTGCAGCGAGAGGAAGTGGTGGAGACTTATACAATTGCAACATTTGAAGACCATCTGGATGGGGACATGAATAGGAAAGGTTTAGAGGGATATGGGCCAAATGCTGACAAATGAGTTTAGATTTATGTCGAATATCTAGTAGGCATAGATGAGTTAGACCAAAGGGTCTGTTTCCATGTTGTATATCTCTGACTGTAAGTCAAGATGATAAGTGGCTTGGAGGGGAACTTGCAGGGGTTGGTGTTCCCATGTGTCAGCTGCCCTTGTCCTTCTTGATGGAAATGATCATGGGTTTGGAAGGTACTGTCTAAGGATCTTTGGTGAATTTCTGCAGTACTTCTTATAGACAGTACACACTGCTGCTCCTAAATATTGACGTTGAAGGTGGAGGATCTGTGCCACTCAAGAGGACTGCTTTATCCTGGTTGGCATCGAGCTTAAGTACTGTTGGAGCTGCACCTATCCAGGCAAGTAGGGAGTAATTCATCAAATTCCTGACTTGTGCTTTCTGCATATCTTTGGACTGTGGGAGGAAACAGGGGCATTTGCAGGAAACCCATGCAGACACGGGCAGAATGTGCAAACTCCACACAGACAGTTGCCTGAGGCTGGAATCGAACCTTGTGGCGCTGTGGGGCACCAGTGCTAACTACTGAGCAACCGCACTGCCCGTCAGATGGTGGACAGGCTTTGGGGAATCAGGAGGTGAGTTAGTCACTGCAGGATTCCTAGCTTCTGACTGCCCTTGCAGCACTGTATCCATAACATGAGTCCAGTTCAATTTCTATGTCAATGCTAACTTCTAAGATGTTGATAGTGGTGGATTCTGTGATAGTAACACCACTGAATATCAAGGGGCGAAGATGTGATAGTCTCTTATTGAGGATGGTCATTGCCTGGCATTTGTGTGCCGCGCATCCGAAGCCTAGATATTGTCCAGATCTTGTTGCATTTAAACATGAACTGCTTCAGTATCCAAGGAGTCGCGAACGATGCCAAACATTGTGCAATCATCGATGAACATCCCCACTTCTGACCTTATGATGGAGGGGAGGTCCTCGAAGAAGCAACTGAAGATTGTTGGGCTGAGGACATTACCCTGAGGAGCTCCTGTAGAGATGACCTGGAACTAAAATGACTGATCTCCAACAACCACAACAATCTTCCTATGTGCCAGGTATGACTCCAACCAGTGGACAGTTTGCCCCCAATACCCATTGATTTCAGTTTTGCTAGGGCTCCGTGATGCCACACTGAGTCGAATGCATCCTTGATGTCAAGGGCTGTCACTCTCACCACACCTCTGGAATACAGTTCTTTTGTCCATGTTTGAACCAAGGTCAGGAGCTGAGTGGCCTTGGCGGAACCCAAACCAGGCGTCACTGAGCAGGCTATTGCTGTTGATGACCGTTTCCATATCTCTGCTAATGATCAAGAGTAGGCTGATGGGCGGTAACTTTAGATTTGAGATGGTTTAGGTGAGGGCAAGGTCCTGAAGACCTCTTGCAGACACGCCTCACTGGCGTCTGACCGTAATGACAGACACTCCCCCTCAGCTCTTCCTGTTGTGCACCCCCTTTCCCCCCTTATAGGTGAAAGATGGGACTCGGTGTACTCCACACAGCGATGCCATTTGTGTCCGGAGCCGGTGCATCAAGACAGGCTGTGACGGGATCATCAGATCGAGGAAGCGGTACAACAAATGTGGAACGTGCGGCGGGGAGGACTCGGCTTGCCAGCGGGTCATCCGGCGTTTCCGCAACAGGACGTGAGTCACAGCCCACTGCACCTCTCAGCTTCACCATTGCTCCCAAGTCCCAGCATTTTCACTTCACTGGCTTCTCTGCCATGCAATTACACTATGGAAATCATGGAATCCCTACAGTGCGGAAGCAGGCCATTTGGCCAATCGAGTCCACACCGATCCTCCAAGGAGCATCCCTCTAACCTATCCCTATAACCCTGCATTTCCCACAGCTAATCCATCTAACCTGCACATCCCTGGGAACTCTGGGGCAATTTAGCACGGCCAATCCACCCTAACCTGCACATCCCTGGGCACTATGGGACAATTTAGCATGGCCAATCCACCCTAACCTGCACATTTTTGGACTGTGGGATGAAACCGGAGCACCCAGAGGAAACCCACACAGACACTGGAAGAATGTGCAAACTCCACACAGACAGTTGCCTGAGCTTGGAATTGAACCCGGATTCCTGGCCCTGTGAGGTGGCAGTGCTAACCACTGAGCCACTGTGCTGCCCAGGCAGCCGCCATCCACTGAGCCACCACTGTCCCCAACGTTCAGCGTTTGCCCCATGAAAGATTAATTACTGTCCCCGCCACCCTCCACTCCCCACCACCTTAGATCCAATGTGCCCTGATGTTCCACCTACACATTGACTCCAGTTTCGGAACCTGGTGCCACGTACAGAGCCCGGGGGTCTGTGCACCGGATAAACGAACAATTGTAGTGAGTGTTGCCTGGCGCTCTAGACCCATTGGACCCCCACAACATGCACTCTTGACCCTGAGAGCCTTGTCCCCCCCAACGCCCTCAAACCCACCCACTCACCAGCCCCCACTCTCCGACAAACTTGTCACACAGGCTGCAATTGACTAACTGATAATAAACCTCTGCCGTTGTTGAACTGAAGCCTTTCGTGGATTTCTTCCAGGGTCAACTACAGTGACGTGGCCGTGATCCCCGTCGGAGCAGCCAACTTCAAAGCACGACAGGAGTTCAGGCGAGGGCAGACTCAGCTCACTGCCTACCTGGCCCTGAAGAGGCTGAACGGCAGCTACATCCTTAACGGGGACACCCAGATCTCGGGTTTCGACAGTCTCCTGACCGTGGGAGGGGTGGATCTGCGGTACATGGGCTGGAGCCCGCGGCGAGACGTGCTGCGGGCGGTCACGCGTGGCGCGCTGACTGAGCCGCTGGTTCTGCAGGTGTACAATCCGAGCAGACAGCGGGTTGTCCAGGTCCTCTACTCTTACTATGTACCCAAGGAGCAGGCAAACAATGGCAAGCCCACCCGCATGCCAACTGCAACACTAACTAGTTATGGCGCACTGCCCAATCCCACACTGACCGAATGCACCATGACCAATGTCACAACTCCCACTACAACGTTGCCCACTCACATGCCAGCTCCAGTGCTAACCACCCGCATAGACAAAGACACGCTGGTTACACTCGGTTGCCCTGTGACACCAACCCACCACACAACAGCCAAGGGCATAGTGCCCAGTCGTAGACCCACACTCTCAGTACCCAATCGTAGGCCCACACTCACAGTGCCCATTCACAGGCCAACACCCACAGTACGCCGTCATGGAACGACACCCAAAATGCCTACTCGCAGGCCAACACCCAGAGTACCCAGTCGCAGAACCACACCCAGAGTACCCAGTCGCAGAACCACACCCACAGTGCCCAGTCGTAGAACCACACCCACAGTGCCCAGTCGTAGAACCACACCCACAGTGCCCAGTCGCAGAACCACACCCACAGTGCCCAGTCGCAGAACCACACCCACAGTGCCCAGTCATAGAAACACACCCACAATGCCCAGTCACACGTCTGCTCCAACTCTAAGCTCTCGCTCGATAACCAAAGCCACACAGTACTACGGCCAGCCGGGTAAGAGGGAGCCCTCACGTGGCCTGCACAATGCTACACTGCCCACTCCCAAACGACACACCCACTCATTTTACAGACCACCACGGCCCACCCGCATACGGCTCAACCCACAACCATCCCGTACCAAGGCCTCTTCCACCAGCTGGCACCCTGGGCCATGGCAGAGCTGCTCAGTCACGTGCGGGGTAGGGTGGCGGGTTCGGTGGCTACGATGCCTGGATAGGCATGGTGTTCTCTCAGCAGGCTGTGACTACCGGGCGAAGCCAGCTGGTATGGCTCTGTGTGTGATGCAGAAATGTTGAGAGGTGGGGGTTATGGTGTCAATCTTCAACAATCCCCCCACTCCCCACTTCTAGTCCCCTTCAAACACTCCCAGGAAATGTCCAGCACAGGGTGAGATACAGAGTGAAGCTCTCTCTACATTAAGTACATCAAACACTCACAGGACAGGTACAGCTCAAGGTTGAATAGCATTTAAAATTCCCCCTCATCCTCACCCTTCAGATGCAAAGGGCAGATTCAGCACAAGTTTAGACACAGATAAAGCTTCAAAAGAATTTTAAATTATCGTTTGATTCTGTTTCGACATTCTTCCTATAAGATGCTGACTTTCAGTCAGGGTCTCCCCATGACTGATGTTCTCTTATAATTCACATTGTGTTGTGTGATATAAATCTCTTCTCTTGAAATTGCTCATTCAAATGAATTGATTTTAAGCAAAATGTTCTGATGTGCCTCCTTCATTGTGAAAGTGTCGGTCCAAAGCCGGTCCCACCACCTACAAGATGCGAATCAGGAGTGTGATGGAATACCCCCCATTTGCCCTGGATAGGGGCAGCTCCAACAACTCTCAAGAAGCTCGACCCCATCCAGGACAAAGCAGCTCACTTGATTGGCTCCACATCCACCCACCGGCTTCAAATTTCCTCTCCTCTTGGCTACACCATGGCTTGCTTATACAACTATTTCCAAGGCTGACCCTTTTCTAGGAGTTGATGCCATAGGTGCCAGGATGGAGGCCAGGTTATGTGTGAACTATCCATCATAATTCACCAGCCCAAGAATGACCTAAGCTCCAGGGCACCTTTGGTCGCCCTCACTTTATCTTCCAACGGGTGTAACTCAGTCTTGTCAACTCTGTAGCCCAAGTTGGTCACTTATGGTGCCTGGAACACACATTATTCCCTTCTAAGGCTGGCACCCACCTGGGAGAAGTGTCTAAGCACTATGTCCAAGTTCTCTAATTTCTCGTTATTGGTCTTCCCTGTTATTAGCATATCATCTAGATAAATGACAATCTAGTAACCTTGTAAAGCGTTCTCCATCACCTGCTGAAAAACTGAACAGGCTGACGATACCCTAAAATGGCAGTCTCGTATGTTGGTACGAACCCCAAGGGTATTTCTTGTAGCGTGCTTCTGGTAACCTACAACTGCAGGTACGCATGGCTCATGTCCAGCTTTATGAAGGTCAGACCCCCTGCCAGCTTTGTGTATAAATCCTCAATGTGAGGGCTGGATATCTATCCAGCTGAGAAAAGCCATTTATTATTTGTTTAAAATTGCCACAAAGGCAAACCGACCCCTTGGGCTTCACAATCGGTAAGACGGGTGCTGTCAATTCCGCAAATTGGACTGGTTTGATGATTCCTCCGCTTTCCAGCCTTCTGATTTCTGCCCCTACTTTTGTCCATCAGGCAAATGGCATTGGGCAGGCCTTGCAGAATCATGGAATTGCTTTCTGGTCAACATGCAAGGTATCCTTGACTCCCTTGAGAGCCTCTAGACCTTCCTAAAAAACATCCAGGAACTTAATTAGGACTTCCCTCGGGCAGTATTTTTCTAATCAAAAAATGTTGAGCAATCTAGGTGAATCCTTCTCAACCAATTTCATCCCATCCAGCCTGGGCCTGAGCCTTTTACTACAATCAGTGGTCACTGAACCAGCTGCTTCTCATAAGAGACCGGAATCAAAGTTGTACCCTTAATCTGTAAAGGCTCTCCGGTATAGGTTCTCAAATTAGCTAAGGGCTTGCGAAAACCGAAAGGTTGGAGTCCAGAGTGAATTTTGTTAAAGGCTGGTTCTGTGTTCACTGAAATGGCTGCACCGCTATCGCCCACCATTAGAATCAGGTGACCATTTAACCAGTTGTTTATTCTGATTGGCTTTGATTTGGACGTTGCTAAGCAGTTTAACTGGCCCCAAAACAGATCTAGTTGGACTTTCCAGGGTGTGCACTCTCCTGGGTATTGACCTATGAGTTCTCTTACTCAATTCAGATGTAGTGGAATTCTTTTGCTGTCGAGTCCACAAACTAGCAACAACTGCAATGGCTTGCTGGCCTGGATCCTGACCAAAATTTTAATTGTTCTAATCCTAGCCGAGGCTAGGATTTGTTTTGTGACTTTGCTGTGAGCTGACCTGGAGTCCTGCTCTTCAGGGTACGTCCTGAGTGAGGCCAAGTAATCACCTTCACTCAAGTGATGTTCCCCAAGCTCAGTTGAACAGGAGAGGGTATCCACTTACATCAGAATTGCCTGCAACTCATATGCTCCACTTGCCGCATTTTCCAATGATAAAGCCACTTGTGTCTGTTGAAGTCCAGCTTCAGCTGGTTGGCACTTCTACATGGTTACATCATTAATCCCACATACCTAACAGTCTCTCAAAATCTCATTAAGGGTTAAACGGTTTCTCAGCATTTCATTAAGGGTTAAACCCAGTCAAAAATCCTGATACGGATTCCCCTAGTTTTCAAATTGCCGATTAAAACCGATAGTGTCTCAGAATTAGAGGAGGCTTTCGGTCATAATATTCCTTAACTGAATACGTCAAGACTTGAAAGGTTCTAATATCTGACGCCTCAGCGAAAATTAGGCTTCTAATAACTGAAAAAGCTACAGGTCCGCATGCTGTCAGCAGAATTACTCGTTGCTTTTCATCTGCGCCAATGTCATTTGCCTGGAAAAGGTAACACATTCTTTCCACATACTGGGCCCAGTCTTCGATGGCAGGATCGAATGAGTCAACTTTCCCAAATAACAGCACGATGTCAGAAATGTTTACCCCAACTCAAAGACGACCATTGCGAGCGAATTTCTTCAGGAGCATGCTTTTCTCTTGTCACCACTGAAATAACTCCACAGAGGCTGGTATCCTGTCACCTAGTCACCCTTTATTTACACGTGGAGGGATCTTGATACTGATCCAGCTTCCTCAGAGCCAGCTCTCAGAGTGAACAGGATGAGGTTGTTGACTTGTTCGCCAAGCTGGCTTGTTCTTGTTCATTGAACGAGAACAAGCCAGCTTGGCAAACAAGTCAACAACCTCACCTACAACTTGAGCTACAGATCTTTGCCAAAAATTTGAGTGAACAGGATGTCTGACACTCCTGTTTATATCTGTCAGCCAGGCCTCCCTGACTGGACTAGGTTAACAGTTGCAATTAGGGAACTCATGTTCCATGAGGTCCACGTGGTTGACCTCGCTATACCCAATACACCCCCCATCACTAAAACACCATCACAACAGTGTGTACCATCTACAAGATGTACAGAAGTACAACAAATTATTTTCTCACTCTTATTTGTTATGGCAGCTATAGACCATACAAAACCCATGGATAATCCATCTTGGCCTCCTCCTGTGGTTCCTAGCATTAGAGATGCCAGTCTTCAGCCAATTCGATTCACTCCACCTGATATCAAGGAACGGTTGATGGCACTGGATACTGCAAAGGCTACGGGCCCTGACAATGTTCTAGCAATAGTACTGAAGACTTGTGCTCCAGAACCTGCCACTCCCCTAGCCAAGCTGTTCCAGTACAGCTACAATGCTGGCATCTACCCGACAATGTGGAAAATTGCCCAAGCACATAAAAACCAGGACAAATTCAACCTGGTCAATTACCGCCCCATCTGTTGCCCTCAATCATCAGTGAAGTGATGGAAGGTGTCATCAACAGTGCTATTAAGCAGCACCTGCTCAGCAATAACCTGCTCAGTGATGCCCAGTTTGGGTTCTGCCAGGGCCACTCAGCTCCTGACCTCATTACAGCCTTGGTTCAAAACAGCTGAATTCCAGAGGTGAGGTGAGAGTGACAGCCCTTGACATCAAGGATGCATTTAACCAAGTGTGGCATCAAGGAGCCCTAGCAAAACTGGAATCAATGGGTATCGGGGGCAAACTCTCCGGTGGATAGTCATAACCTAACACGTAGGAAAATGATCATGATTGTTGGAGATCAGTCATCTCAGCTCCAGGACATCTCTGCAGGAGTTCCTCACGGTAATGTCCTAGGCCCAACCATCTTCAGCTGCTTCATCAATGACCTTCCCTCTATCATCAGGTCAGAAATGGGGATGTTTACCGATGAATGAACAATGTTCAGCACCATTTGTGACTCCTCAGATACTGAAGCAGTCCATGTCCAAATGTAAGAAGATCTGGACAATATCCAGGCTTGGGCTGACAAGTCACAAGTAACATTCACACCACATAAATGTCAGGCTATGACCATCACCAACGAGAGGCAATCAAACCACCACCCCTTGACATTCAATTCTGTTACCACCACTGAATCCCTCACTATCAACATCCTGGAAGTTGTCATTGATCAGAAACTCAATTGGACTCACCAGATGAATGCAGTGGCTAGAACAGCAGGTCAGAGGCTAGGAATACTGAGGCAAGTAACTCACCTCCTGAGCTCCCAAATCCTGTCCACTATCTTCAAGGCACAAGTCAGGAGTGTGATGGAATACTCCCCACTTGCCCTGGATGAACGCAGCCCCAACAACACTCAAGAAGCTTGACACCATCCAGGACAAAGCAGCCCCCACTTGATTGGCACCACATCCACAAGCATTCACTCCCTTCACGACAGACTCTCAGTAGCAGCAGTGTGTACCATCTACAAGATGCGCTGCAGAGATTCACCAAAGATCCTCAGGCAGCACCTTCCAAACCCACGGCCACTTCCATCCAGAAGGACAAGAGCAGCAGATACATGGGACCCCCATCCCCTGCAAGTTCTCCTCTGAGTCACTCACCATCATGACTTGAAAATATATCACTGTTCCTTCATGTTGCTGGGTCAAAATCCTGGAATTCCTTCCCTAATGGCATTGTAGGTCAATCCATAGCACACGGACTGCAGCAGTTCAAGAAGGCAGCTCACCACCAACTTCTCAAGGGGACAACTAGGGATGGGCAATAAATGCTGGCCAGCCAGCTACGCCCACAACCCAAAAAATGAATATATTTTTAGAAATTACACTTGCCATTTCAATCTCATGGTATCTGATGTAAGTCACTCCTTGGTGTTTGTGTGTTTTATAGATAAAATAATCATCTTGATTAGATTCTATAGAATTGTAGAATTTTACAGAAGCAGGCCACTTGACCCATCGTGTTTGTACCGGTTCCCGAAAGAGCCACCCAGCTAGTCCCACTCTTCAGTCCTATCCCATAGCCCTCTATTGAATTGAATCATTTATTGTCACGTGTATTGAATGTAAGAATACAGTGAAAAGCATGTACCTTCACTGTACATATATGGCTCCATTCACACTAACCTAGAACAAGATAAGTAACAAAAAGATAACTTAAAAGAGTCCAACTTTCCTTTCTACTGCCGCAGTCCCACTCAGTGCTTTCCAGCCTTCGTCGTGCCTGCACCAGAGTCCC